AAATTTGAACCAAAGAATATTGGAATGAAGGATCACCTCAGCTTTTTTTTTAACCTTCAGGTTTCACATGTACTAGGAGTGCTTCACTAGTTAGATATTCTTGTGAACAATATTGACAGATTTTCTGAGTAAGCTCATAAAGGTAAAACAGAGGCATGCTTTATACGTTTAGTCATCCCTGTGTTCTGTGGACAAAGCAAGAGACAGGTGCCAAGAGATAAGTACTATTGAATTGTGACTGTACAAAGTGCTTCTACCATGCTCCTTTTCATTCCTATAGATGTTCCTCATTCTGCTATGGTGAGTGAGCCCTTGGTCACAGCTGGTTGTATGTATGGTTAGTTATGTTTGTACAGTCTGTATTATGGTTATGCAACATAATAACATGTTCTGTTTCTTAAATAACTGTTAAAAGGGCTATCAAAAGCCATAGTTTATTTGTATTACTATATTCAGGCTGAAACAGGATCTGTGGGGAGAAAAAAATCAGTGAAGAGTCAGTAATTTAAAAAGTGATAATCTTTCCAGAGGATATCATTACAGGACTTCATGCATATTTCCTTTTCCAAGGCTACATTAGTTATCCTAAATCCAGATACTGCTATTGCTTCTTTTCTTTTTGGAAGAGTAGAAAGTGTGAGAAAACTGAAGTTTATCTTACTTATTACTTAGTTTTAGATACTGTAGCTACTAATTAACGTGGTTTGAATTAATATCTCTCATCTTTGAAGCCTTACAAGAATATAATAATGTCCAACATTGGTATTCACTGGCAATATAGTCCCATGTCCTAGGAACATGCAGTAATGCATTAGTACAATAAACATCCCTCTATGATATTTTCTTTCAGCTGGTCATTTGTATGATACGGTTCTTTTGCCAAGAATGCCTGTACATTGACAAAATTGGATCTTTGGTGGAAGACAGACAAAAGGGATTTAGTCTTTTCTAGTGAGTAAGGATACTTTATTAAATTCATATGATATTGAAATTTGATTAATACAACGAAAAAGCACATGAAAAACTTCTGAAATGAAACAACCATACTAAAAAATATGTCTCCATATTTTCTGCCTGCATCTCATTTCACTCAGTTGAGTGCTCTTTCATCTCTCATCATAATAAGTGCCCCCTGAGGCAAATGAGCTGTGTGTCCTATTACCAGTTTGTGGAGTAGCTCACCAGAAGGGCAGCCTTCAGCAGATAGGAAGACTTCTCTAGCAGATTCCATAGGCATACTGAGGAAAACACATTTCTGACATTTGAAAGAGCAGCACGTGACCATCAAATATATCAGATGCACTGTCTCCGGAAGATAGCAGTCCTTTTGCCAAAACTCTTCACATTTCTTTTGAGACTTAATGGGATTTATACTAGAAAAGACTGACATAGTGCCGACCTGGGCTGTGTTAAGCCCTGTAGTGGCTTCATTGGTTCTGAGTCACTATATTGAAACAACAGTCTGGCTTTGTATAACTTAGCATGAAAACTTCGATAAATGTAATTTCTCTAGCTAGGTAAGTTGAGGCTTCTAAATTATACAACAGGATGAAACACAGACTTACAGGAAAGGAGACTGGAAAAGACCTCAAGACCTCATCTTGTACGTTCTGAAGCTCCAGGGGAGAATCACCTGTACCTCAGAAATGAAGTATCTAATTGTCTTCATTGTTAATAAGATTTTCTTAATATATAATATAGCCTTCAGTGTCATAGTTTGAACCCATCCCTTTATCCACTACATATAAAAAATGTAATCCCTCCTTACCTCTTCACAAGTAACTTATGTAGATGATTATTTGCATGTATTCAGTTGTCCTTCTGTTCTTTAGACTGAGTAACCCAATTCTTTCAATGTTTTTTCTTGTTTGGTTGGGTTTTTTTCCCCCCAAACAACTGAACATTTTCTCTGCTCTTCTCTGGACTCTTTCCAGTCTGGAACAGTTTTGCTTGAACAGGACATAGTGCTACTGGTTGCTGTGCTAGACAGAAATATAATAGGAGGTATTCCTTAATGTATCATACAAGCAAAACTGTTTATGTTCCTAATATGCAGTTTGCATTCTTGTACATATATGATGTAACTATTCTCATTCATGAATAACTTCTGACTGACTGCTACCCCTCTTACCCCTTCTTGGCAGAATGGCTGCTAGATTTTTATGAACTATTATTCCCCCTTAGAACCTCACACTTGTAAATACAAGTGCACTGTGATGTGTTTTCTCCTACAGATAATTTATTGTATTTGTCAAGAGCATTCTGAATTTAATGTATCATGCAATGAGTTAACTTCCGCATGGGCTTATTGTTATCTGCAAGGTTGAAGGATTGTTGCTTTATCAAAGTCATAACTGACCTTAGACAGTACTTGGCCCAAAACAGATCCAGCTAGACTCTCACTGATTATGGTTTTGTGAGTTTGATAGTGAACAATTAAAAAGTAATCTTAGTCTGTGATTTTGGTGTTGGTTTTGCTTGGTTGGTTGGTTTCGGTTTCGTTTTCCTTTTTTTTTTCCTCCCCAGGTAGCTTTGCACTCTTCCAGAAGTAGCTTCAATTTAATTTACTTTTGAAAATGTTATGAGTCGTTATTAAAATGTCAATAACATTGTTAAAATTAAATCGTATTTGACCTGCTACTTTTCTCTTTGAAAGACTTGTTGCCCTGTTACAGAAATTAATAGCAAACATGCCAAAAAAAAATAAGGGATATAACTTTTTTAACTATCTCCAACCTCTTACGAATACTTGATATTTTCATTTATTCTAGTATTTTTCCAGAACTAGTCTCTTCCTCATTTCTTGACTTTTTCAAGGCGAGCACCACGTTCTCCTCTTCACACATTTCTCACACAACTTCTGAGAGTTTTCAGACTCAACTAACAGATCTGAGCTTGTTTCTCTCTATTCTCAAGGTATCTTAATATGCACTTCTCATTATGTATAGAGCTCATTCCACCTTTTTAGCTGCCTATGAAATAGCCATCTATATCTGTACAGGGGAGTAAGCTCCTATTTCAGTCAAGGGAGACAGTGCACCAGCTAGAGCGTTCTTCTGGAGAGAGGCTGTAGAGGTATACTTGAGGATGAGGTGAACTGCAGTATCTTCAAATTGTTTTCAGTTCTGTTCTTTCCCCTTTTAGATAGATTCTTTCTTACTGACTTTACTTATTAGTCATGTAATTACAGTTCACCCTTTTGTGAAGAGTTATGGAAAACTGCAGCCTTCTGCAAGTGAACTATCACTAGGTTTTTCTTTTCCTGACAGATTTGTTTTCCTTGCTATCTCTTGTATCCATGGGTTTTTTGCAGTTAAATTTGTGCTTTATCCTTTATGACTTTGTTTCAGCATCTTGTGCTATTTTTTCATACTTGTCCTTAGGAGTTTGACCTGGTTTCCACTTTCTGTACATTCCTTTCTTGTGTTTCAGGTCATTGAAGACAGTGTTCCTTAGCAAAGTTGATCTCTGATTATACTTCCTATCCTCCTACTGTGTGGAATTGTTTGTGTTTGTACCCTAAACATAATTTCTTTAAGGAACTGCCAACTCTACTGAATTCCTTCTGCTTTAGCCATTTTTCCCATGAGAACTTACCTTCCAGTTCCCAGGGTTTATTAGAGCCTTCTTGTATAGAGTCCATTGGGTTTGAACTGATCTTGCCTCTTGTTTTTCATCTATAAAAATAGTATATATTATCACAGCTACCCTCAACCAAATTACCTTTGCCCTTATATTCCCGATCATCCTCTTTCTTGGTTGCTTAGCAAGGCAGCCTCTTGGCAGGCTGCTCTTGAAGCACTTGGCAGGCTCTAAGAGCTGCTGTAGACTGTACGCAGGGAGTGGTTAAATGCTGCTCATTATACCTAGAGAGACACAGCACATTGCTTTGTAATGTGCAACTGGAGATGCTCACCTAAACACTCACAGGAAAACACTGGCAACTTTTACTTGGGCATTTAATCAAAACACAGACAAATATGATGTGTACAGAATGTTTCAGATGCTCTCCTGTGAAAGCATCTGTGCCCAGCCTTGAAATTCAGGTAAGGAGAAGACAAAACCTTTCCCCTATTTCCTTTGCAGACCTACACATAAAATTGAAATAATGTGTCTCTCTGGACTGATCTTTCCTTGTCTGAATCTTTATTTTCTATTTACCGTCACTCAGAGGAATGGGAAAATCTCCACTGAGGGTGTCTGATTGGTGAGTAGAATTGGATTGTTAGTAGCTTTTCATGTCACTGTGATTTTCTAAGTGTAGGCAAATATCTGCAAAGAGAGATTTCTTTGTCAGAGTTGATTGTTGGGAAGTTTTTTTATTTATATACTTAGAAATTTCATAAAATCTTTCAAGAAATAAGCTGAGATGTTGTTTAGCTTTTGAAATCACACCATGATGAAATGAATCTATAAAGGATTTTTTGGCAGTCCTACTCATTGCAATAGCTTTCACCAGTTAAGAAGTTGATGATACAAGGATTCTGGTGCCTGAAATGAAGTGGCAAAGGCTTTCATTCACTTTCTGGCTTTGTTAAGGGTGATATGCATCTTGACTCTTCTAATTTCCATACAGTTTGCAGCTATTTGGATTTTGTCATATTTCAAGCATTTCAGCAGAAATTTTACAGGCTAGATATCTGCCTCAGGATATTTTTGAAAACCTTTGAGCAAAAATAGTTTATAGATTTTTATACAGGGAATCTGTGCTCTTTTTTCTCATCTTAACTGGTTCCAGTGACCTTTCTTCTAAGAAGTTCGGGTACATTACAGGCTTTGAAATAAGCATTTGAAAAATGAGGTTAGGAGGCTTCCTCCTGTACATTCTCAGTGAAACCTCTGCTGGACTGAGATTGCACAAGAGAGTAAACCATCCCTTTTAAATAGCAAGGCAAACATGAGCAAGACATTTGAGGGAAAATTGTTGAGGATCACTGGCAAAATAGATTCAGAGAACGAAATCAGCAGGAAGAAACTGTGCCTTGACAAGTAGCGTGAAAATTGATGTGGGAAGGAAAGAAAAGGAAAATGTGTCAGTTTAGTTTGGGAGATACCAAAATAGCTATAGGACCTGAAATGCAGAGCCTGGAACTAGCTGAGTAGAGAAGTGAGAGCGAGAAGCAGTGGGGCTGCGTGGGAAGCTTGGAAGTAGGAGAGACAGTTCTGATGAGCTGGACTCGGAAGTGTGGTTGGCGTAGGGGGCTGTGAGGCTGACTGAGGAGACTAAGGGAGGAGTCTGGCAGTGGGAGCCAGCAAGGAGATGGCTTGTGCATGAAGAAGACGGAACAGCAGAATCAGGGTGAGATCTAATGGGTGTTTGGGAAGCTGGAAAATGGGATTTGCTGGGCAAGCTGCCTGGGGATGATGTGAGGAAGGCTTTTGGAAGTGAGGTGAGGATTTGCTGGAGACTGTGTTAAAATTTTGCCTGAGAAGTGAAAGCAGGGACTGGGGAAGAAGGGGTCACAGCTGAGACAGGGGCTAAGGGAAACACTCTGGTGCAAATATATGTTCAGCAGGAGTGAAACAGTGTTGGAGTGCTCCTGGGGTGGGGAGTGCAAGGAGGTGGAATTGAGGGTAACAGAAGTGGAAGATTCTGGGCAGTCCATGCTGATGGTGGGAACAGAGGAGGCAAGGACAAGCTGTGCTAGGGACCATTGTCCTTCAGTGTCAGGAATGGCATCCTACATCTTGCTGTTTTGTTGCTGCTAGCAGGTAAGACTGGGTCTTGTCACTGTTGATGTCCAGAAGATGCTGCCACTATCCGTTAGAGTGGATATCATAAGGCTGGTCAAGGGAGCTGAATGATTCACCACTAACAATGATTTTTGTGCATGTTGTCATGATACCACATGAATACATTTTTCAGTAGCTTTGTAACACTAGGTTTTTAAAGAAACAAGATGCTCCACATAACTTGACACAGTTCACAGGATGATTATGCTCTTGAGATGCTCAAGGTCTGTGCAGTAGGATCCCCACTATCTACAACAGATGAGGGAAGGTGTGCAATAAATCAGGCAAGAAGTTTTAGGATGAGTCTTTGTGTTCTTTGTCTGCTGTAACAATCCCATGTGGGGCACCCATCTTTTCAGAGATTCACTGACTGTCCAGTCTCCATTTTTTGGGTACTTCAACAGGCTCTGGAAACCAGATTTGCAGATCTTTTGAGCATTTCTATCTGTAACTGAATCAGCAAGACTATTTTGAGCTTACAGTGTATTGTAACGTCAAATACTCTGAAATTTCAGGTCTTTAGTTTCAAGACTCTTTTGCCAAAAGCCAGCAGATACTTCATTTTATGCTCTATGATTTAGCTCACCACTTTAATCCTACTGTCTCCAAACTTCTTAATGTTTGATACTGCATGTGGCATAGCATGATGTAAAAACATGTTTCATAAAAACAGACTTTAAACATAACACTTCTGCTCAACAGCTTGCCCTGTAATACAGTGGAGAGCAAAAAGGAAAGGAAAAATAGGCCTAGGTTCATATAGGAAGAGAGAAGAAGGTATACAAACAGTTTGTCAGTAAGTGTCAGGATGTTTCCGGCAAAGAGGTTATTTCTGTAAAAGAGCAGACACCAAATCACTGGTATAAGGGCTTGCACCCGATTCCTACAAAGGAGTGTTCGGAGGAGTATAAAAAAGGAAGAGCAAAGGGGGAATGAGAGTAAAGGTATGTTTTTGGACAAAAACATTGTTGGATTGTGAAAATTAGGTTCAAAATCTGGACTAGAATGACAGAAGAAGCTGGAGGAAATAGGACCAAAAAGGAAAATAATTTAAGCAGAAACATTTTGTAATCACTGGAGTGTAAAAAGAGAAAGAGTGATTGTAGCTGTCATCAATTATTGTTGACAGGTGGTAGTGGAAAGGATACAAGGATATAATGAGGTGAACAGCAGCTGGGAGGTTGCCTGGGGGCTGTGTGGTAAGCAGCCAGGACTGTTACATGACAGTTGAGGCTTTGCTATTTGGTGTGCAATGGTAGGAATGAATGAATCAAGTTTACACAGGGAGGTGAAAAGCAGGAGGGGACAAAGAGAATCTAGGGCTGAGACAAGGTGGGTAGACTTGAATCGGAAGTAAAACATTGCTATTACTGACAGTAACTGAGAAGAGAAATATCAGAGGGTACAGTAAGACATATGAAAAGGCAGAGAATTAGTTATATACATGAGAAAAGCAGAAGGATTTTGTAAGGCCCACCTCTCATGAAACAAGCCTGGAAGGAGATTATTTGTTGCTACTGTGGCTGTGGCTGGTGTGCATCATTCTAAACTTTTCTTCCCTACTGCTTTTTCTCCCTTTCTTCCTCCTTTCCAAGTCTTTGAGGGTCAGGGTCATCTAGTTTCCCTAAAAGAAAGTGGTGACGTTTGCTGTCCTGTGATTGGTTTTGCAGTGATTTAATTGGCAGTTGATATGTGCATGGGATTCTGAATTAAGTTTTAGATAAAAAAGCCTCACAGCCCATTACCAGATGTCAGACCCCAAAATCACTAACAGGGCACTGCCCAGTCCCCTGGGGCTGTCCCCACCCCGCCCACAGCCCACAGCCCCATGTCAGCCTCCTGAGGCCATCAGTCCCTGCCCAAGCTATGCTGCAGCAGGACTGGTCTCCAGCTTCCCAGGGCCAGACGGGTCTCTGCACTGAACCTGTCCATATTTAGGAAATCAAAAATCCTTGACCTTTCTGGCTACAGATACAAGAAGAAAAAGAGAGACAAGTTTGATCACATAGTAAGGACTGGGTTCCAGTGTATGAATGGCTGCAGTGTATATAATCTCATTCCTCTTTAAATGACTGTGGTAATTTATTGGATAATTTGCATATTCCTTTGTATACTCATTTCTTTGAATTTGTTCTTCTTCACCTTCACTTCACTGAATTATACTTTGTGTCTTTTTCAGTCCAAATCTCAACCTCCCTTTTCCACAATGTTTTCAGAGCCAGCTACACAGCCTTTCTATTTCCCTTGGCCCCAACTCTGCCACTTTTCTTCTGGTTGCTGCTTCCTGTCTCTGGGAGCTTTTCTGTCAGACTCCGTGCTGCCTTTTCCCTTTTTTTCTCCTCACTTTAGTTCTTTTCATACCCAAATTGACTCTTCCTTTCCCTTGCTCCTTTGTGGGCTGGTTGGTAACAGTTTTAGTACACTGGCATCCTAATTGGTGTTGGCATCCCTGAAAAGAAAGATTTTAAGGAGTGATTTCAGGTGAAAAATGTAGTGGTTCTGTAGGTGCTTCATAAACTTTGTCCAAAATGCAAGGGCAGCAGAGGAGAAAGTGGGAGCTATTTGTTTGTTAACAGGGACTAATGGTAGCAGGGACTAGCAGTAAGACTGATGAGAAGGTAAAGTTGAGCTTTTAACACCGCATGAGAAATTGTAGATAAAGAAAAATCTTGGAAGGCAAGACAAGGAGATGATATGGAATGAAATAGAGAAGAAGCTAAAAGACAGGCATAAGATGTGGTGTAATGAGAATAACAAGCAGATTAATGATGACAGTGAGGAAGGTAGCACTATAGTTGCTGAGACCAGAAAGAAATCTGATGCAGTAATGGAGGGCTGAGATGACCACTGCAGAGAACAAGAGTTTTAGCTTGTGCCCTGTAATGGAAATTGTGACTTTGTACCCACCTCAGTGCTCTAAGTGTGCTATTCTATAGGAAACCTTTGTCAATCTTTTACTCAGTAGCCCCCAGCCAAGCTCATATGTTCTCTAAGCTTGTACCTTTTCTCACCTAACAACTTTTAGCCTTTACTGCAAATGAGATGATGTCAGACCCTGTCTCTTGCTGACAAAATATTGACAAGGGTTCTTCTAACTCTTGGCTGTCTGCAACCTGCTTGAGGTTCCTAATCCATTAGTGATTTTCCACTCCATGGACCAAGCCAGCCTGGCTGCTAAGTTTCTGGGGTCTTCCTCCCTCCTATCCATCCATCACAAATTGTACAGAAACCAGGGCGATGCAGATTTGGTTGAGCAAGGGTCTTGCTCTTGTAATTCACCCTGATGCAACAGCACACTCAGAACTGCATCCAGCAGAGCTTGTTTTTCCTGTTCATTTTATATTATGGCTGTTCCTGGGGGGTTTCTACACGTCATCCCCTCCTCACCTTCTATGTACCCATGTACATATCAGTATGTACGTGTTTGCAATTGTCTCTTTGAAGGGATTAACAGGGCTTAAGTACAGAATGGGGCTCAGCAACTGAGAATGTTATCTGTTTCCACAGGTTTTCCCTACCTTCCACTGAGTTGCCCTACTGGTACCTTTTTTTACTTCTGGCTTCAAATGTATCAGGAACATAAATAAGTATTGTTGTAATTTCATTCTTTTAATCTGGGAAGTCCCACTTATCATCAAGTAGGGTGCAGAGGATCACCCCACATGCTCAGCTCTGACCAAGGTCTGTCTGTGAAAAATTAGCTTGAGACACACCTTTGTAAGTTTATCACCTGGAGATTTTAAATCCTTATCAACCAACTTAGTTAGTTTACTTTTAGCAAATAATATGCCAGTGTAAGTGATATTAATGGTTCTGAACTACACATGCTTGTGTACATATATGTACATACACATGTGTGCATATGTTTCTGTGCTTGAGTAATAGAGGCCATACATTAAGATTTAATAATATTCAATACTTCCAGCTATAATACTTCTTATCGTTTATAAAAGTATCAAAATATTGTTTTTTCAGTCTGCTTTTTAAATTTAATATTTCTTTAAATATTGCAGATTTTTCAATTGCAATGATTCAGCAGTTCCAGGAGAAGGATTAGAGAATGCTATATTATGAGAGAATGCTATATTGTGAATCTTTGTTTCAGCAGGTCAAGGACAGAACAAAGTACCAGTGATACCTGTTCAAGGCAATGCAGTCTATTCTTTGTTGCCTGTTCTAGGAATAAATCTTTATGACAGAAGGAAGAACTTCAATCTGAGTGTGAAGTGCTAGGTTGTGTACTCACATGGCCTCATCATTAAATAACTTTATCATTTACCACTTTTGGACTGTCTAAATATTTCCTAATTGAGAGTACTAAAGGTGCTATATCAGGCCTTGTTTTGATCAGGGGAAAAGGAACTCATTCCAAACTCAAAGCTGGTGCTTGGATAAGTGTGAGTGGTTGTGATGTAGCTACACATGGTCAAACAGTTAAAGTCCAGCCCGGTAACAAATGTGTGGGATTATTGCAGAAGTTCTGATATCACAAATGTAAATCAAGTATGAGCCAAATGAACCAAGAGAAAGCAATGTAACAGAAAAAAATATCCAATAACTCCAGCACATGACAATTTTGTGAGACCCCTGGAAAAGTACAATCTCCTAATTGAGACAGAGAGCTCTTCTGAGTCAAACCGTCTAGCCTGACATACAAGGGATATGCGAGTAGGTTGCCAGCCACTCCTCCATACCCAGTGTAGCATATAGAAAAGGGAGATGTTGAAAGTAATTAAAAGCAGAGATTTGTCAGAAATGTCTTGAAGTAAACAGAAAGATGGAAAGAATATTTTATGGTCAGCAAACTTGAGAATAAAGATATGAACAACAGGATACAATTTTTTTGGTTTTATCACAAGGAGTGTGTATATTAGGAAGAAAAGAATCTTAACAATGGAATAGTAGAGGGAGATGGTAGAATTATCAGCAGTGCAAAGAAAATTGTAATTCAGGCTTCAGGCCTTTTTCTCCATCTTGCACATGCATGAGAATATTGGCATTTCCTTCTTCAATAATCTACACCCACCCACCCAACTATGTGTAACAAGAACAAAGCAGATTAATGCCTTATATTTAGTTTTTAGTATTTTTTCCTCTGGGGTTATGTTAGTTCCAAAGAGACAGTTAGACAAAGTCTCCTTGTTTTGTTGCTTTTCACTAGAAGAGGTTTCTGTTGGGGTTTTTTTTGAGTCTTTTTATACTGTCTTTCTATTTTGCCTATGGAACCCCATACTGCTGCTCTTTGGTTACAGCAGAATTAGTCTATGTAGTATGGAGTTGTTATGTTAATAGACTCACCACTCCTTGACTTAGGAATACCTTGAAGTTACCTAAAATCACACTTAATTCAAGGCAGGATGAGGTAAAATGCAAATAGAAATATTAACTCATTACATCTAAAATAGCAAATGCAATTAAAAGCATCTTGAAAAGACATAATAGATCGAAGGAATAGTTCATCTGATTTACTGACACTGACACCTACTGACAAAAGTGCTTTTTGTTTTGGATTTTTTTCCCTCCTTTTAAATTTCCATGCGACTTGTCCCTCTTCTGACAAAATGGCTCTCAGAGTTTTCTTTCCTCCTGTTCCTCAGGTTTCTCTTAGGTGATTTTCATCATTGGAAACCTTGCATTACACAGAACTCCATACTGGGTTCTCCCATCAGAAAACGTCTTCTGAAGAAGCCTTTGGACTTCATCATAAGGTAGCTTTACTGAACTGGCATGTTCATCTCACTTGTTGAGGGCAGTGTTAGCTCTTACCACCAGTCTGCACTTTGAAGTTTTCTGAGGAGTCCAGACAGACTTCACCTGTCATCTTGGAGCTCATTCTAGCCATCCTTACGGTCTGACCATACTGAATTAAGTTAAAGATTCTCTTGTTTCCACAAATAAACATAAGTCTTAGAAGAGGAGTTTAACCAACCCTGTGGTGGGTTGGCCTTGGCTGGTTGCCAGGTGCCCACCCAGCCACTCTATCACTTCCCTTCCCAGCCAGACAGGGGAGAGAGTAAGATGGAAAACAACTTGTGGGTTGGGACAAGGCAGTTTATTTAAAGCAAAAGCAAAGCAGAAGCTTGCTTGCACAAAAGCAAAGCAAAGCAAAAGATAGGAGAGTTTATTCTCTACTGCCCATGAGCAGCAATGTCCGGCCACTCCCGAGAAGCAGGGCTCCAGCATGCGTGACAGTTCCTCAGCAGGCAGCCATTGGAGACAATGAATGCTTTTGCCTCAGCTTTTATATCTGAAGTCATATGCTATGGAATATCCCTTTGTTCAGTTTGGGTCAGCTGGCCTACTTGGGTCCCCTCTCAGGATCTTGCCCTTGATTGCGGAAGGAATGTTACAGTGTTGATGCTGTGCTCAGCAGTAGCCAGAACACCACCGTGTTATCAACACCCTTCTAGCTATCAAAGCAAAGCACAGCACTGTGAGGGCTACTGTGGGGAAATGAACTCCAACTCAGCCAGACCCAATACAATCTCCTAAATGGGTTCTTTCCCCCAAAGAAGTAAGTCTCTCCTATTTCCCTCTTGTGACTCATTGACATGTTTCAACATGAAATATGTCTTATAGCAGACCTTATATTCCCTACCGGTAGTGTAATTAACAAATACATATGATACAAGTATCTAATTAGAGTAAAATTAATCCAGTTCATTTTCTGACTCCTGAGACAGGTATGATAACAATTACTTCTCTGAGGTGACTGCATTTAAAGTGAATGAAGCCCAATCTCATCTAAGCATACTCTAACAAGGAGTCCCTATACCGAATTATTTAGTGTCATATTTGTTTTAATTGCTACACAGCGTGAAATTGTGTCTTTAAAACGCTTCTGAAAAAGAACAAAAAGGAAACACTCAGTCTTGGACCTCATGAGATCAATGAACAATCTGACTGACTTTAACTGGTTTTGAAAACAGCCCCTGATGCATTAGGACTCAATGGATCTCACTGTGAAGTGAGAATTGATGTGCGGTGAAGAAAAGGTTAAAGGAAGATCTTCCCATAATTTTTCTTGTAGCCCTTACCATGGTCTTATGCAGCCAGGAAAATGAAACAATATTGGCTAAGTGCCGTTATGTGTAAGAATACTGCATTAATTTGAGTAAGTAGATTTAGTTACCAGTAATGCTGTTAACTGTATAAGTCTGCAGATATTCTAGTATAGATGTGTGTTATAATCGCCTGTCAGCCCTGAAACGAAGAAGCCTTGTGTGTAAGTACAATTTCAGCAATTTAAGTAGTGCTGACTCTACTGCTGTCTGAGAACATACAGGAATCCAGTTGTCATTATGGCAGCTAGGGTTTATGTACATCCACACATTGGTGGCACACAAATAACTTCCAAAATGATCCTATTGTATCTTGTAAAAACAATTCAAATATGAAAAATTGAAAAAAATTAAGTTGCATCCTTGAGAAATCCAAGCAAAGATGTTTTTATTGCCAGCAGGTTCAGGGTGAAAAATTGAAAAGCAGAAAATGAAAACAGTGTTGCTTGACTTTTTTTGATGGTGAAGACTCTACAAGACAGAAAGAGAATGTCACGTTTGCCAGCAGTTATTGCTTTGCACTTAATTTTGCAACTTCAAATAAAAACGCACTAATGAAGAACTTTCTACTGGGGGAAACAGAGTAAGATTGCACAGAGGACTTAGTCTCTATCCATTAAGTGCAAGGAAGCAGAATAAGTGATCACAGGAGAGGGAATATGTCATATTGGACTGCATTTGCCTTCTCTCCTTTTATCTGTGAACACAGAAAAACACCTTTTCTGTAGTTTTCTCTGCTGCTTCTATATGTTTCCTGTCATATGAACCATTTTGGGGCTCTTATGCTGCAGCAGCAATGGCAGCAAACACATATATGATGCACTGTCTTCGGAGAAAGGGAATGGGAGAATTCATCCATTGTTAGTTGTTAGGATTCTCTGGAGGAATAGGGATGAGTTTCTCCTGCAGTGATTATTGATTTATTTGTGCAAAGTGGAAAGCTTCAGGGCAATAGATGGAAAGAAACTCATTCTGAAGGTGTCGTAGGCTTTGCAGATATGCCTGTCACAGGTTATAGAGAACTTTGTATTCCCAGATTCCAAAGGTTACAAAAATTTATGACTTTGTAATCCTAAATGAAGATATTGTAACCCAATGTGAAAGAACAGAGAGTCTGCTTGGCAGCTTTAAACAACAGTTTTAAAAGAGAAGAAGGGAGAAGGATTTGCTCATAAACATGTCATTGTTCTGAGAAAGGGGTGAATTGTAGAATATTATGAAATAGCCATATTATTTGTCTGTTTAATTTAATAGTATAATTGTGGTGAGTTTCTTCCATAAGAGAATTTTTACTTATTAACAAAGCCTATTTTTATAAGACTTGAAAGGTCTTTCTGCTATCATAAATCTGTAAGAGAATTACTTGTTATCTTTGTTATATCAGTCACATGAAGTCTAACTTGTATCATCTTTCCTTGTTGACAGAAAGACAGATTTCCACTTTAGAGATCACGTCATACTCCTTCTTGTGAAAATAATATGAACCAGAAAGTGATAGTTTTCCTTCTCCCAAATTTTATATTTGGGATACTTCTTTTTGGATTTTTCTGTAAGAAACAAAAAACCCTAACAGGTGAGTAAAGAAATTATCAACAGTAAGACCTCATGTTTTATGGAACGAGGGACACTTTCACCAAATGTGTTAGAAAGTAACTATGGAGCCTAAGTGATAAACAATACTATGAAAACACCAAGGCCCTGTCACTGTGATAGCTATCTTAGCAACATATGAGAGGAAGAACACTACAAAAACATGATGTTAGAGCATCAGACTTGCTTAGACTAATAGTGCTAGCATGCTGAAAGTTTTCATTTTAATAAACTTTTCACTAAGTAGCGTAGTTTATTGCATGTTTGCCATGGGGAGACCAGTGACAGTAAACAAAAAATTGGTTTTAGCATCTTCATTAGTTTCTGTAAGCAGGATGATAGATTGAGTGCTATGATTATCACAAATAAAGAGACTCAAACAAGCATATTTTACTGAAATGGTTTAAATTTCTTCCTTGATTGCAGGTGCTTTTCCTGATCCTGCTGAAAATTGGGTGGCGATTCAAAACGGTCGCAAAAGCACACTGGCTTCTGTCTGCCTGAAGAACAACCTTAATAAATTAAAAAGCAAATTGGATTCTCATGTTGCAAACCAGCTCTTTGTGGAGCACAAGCATAAATTTATCTACTGTGAGGTGCCCAAGGTAGGCTGCTCCAACTGGAAGAGAACTATTTTTCTTCTCCAAGCAGACTTGAATGCAGAAGCTTCTGAAATCGAGCACGACCACATCCACCAAACATCGCTGATCAAAAAGTTGGTGTCTTATCCTCCTGCCATACAAAAGGAATTTCTAAACAATTACACCAAAGTGATGTTCACCAGACATCCCTTGGAACGGCTGGTTTCAGCTTATAGAGACAAACTTCTGCATTCTGAGCCGTTCTACAGTATCACTGTTGCTAACGAGATTAGGGCAATGTTCAGGAAAAACAAAAATTCTTCTGAAAAAGTGAGTTTCCAGGAGTTTGTCAATTTCATTATAGCAAAACCGCCAAATACTCTTGACATTCACTGGAAACCAATGTTTCTGCTCTGTGATCCTTGCAACATTCACTATGATATTCTGGGTAAGTATGAAACTCTTGCATTAGACTCTGAGCATGTTCTGAAGGTCATTGGAGCACCAGAGAGCCTGCAGTACCCCAGTTTGAAGAGATATGGGTCCGAGAAACGAACTAATGGTGATATCACCTTGGAGTATCTCAGACAATTGACCTCAGAACAAATTGAGAAGATCAAAAAATTGTATCAGATGGATTTTTTTTTGTTTAACTATACTATGAAATATGAAGATTATTTTTCCCTGAATGACTAATGTAGGTTAAACAAAGAACAGTTTCCTTCGTACAAAAGTGGGCTGAACTTGTCCTCACAGGTGCTTGATAGGTGGGTTGGTGACTGACTGCTGCTGAGATTTTCCTGAAATTTGTAGATACGGTTTATCATTCTAAACACTCTTATAAAAAAGCCTGCCACAATCTCTTGTACCATACAGTACTTTACCTATGAAATTATTGTCTTCCTGTTGATCATTAGTGGCATATGTTTGATTTGTGAAAACTGTTTATAAATGATAGATTTTGGTCCATTGGTAAGAGACATGGGAAGGACGAAGAATGTTGTTTTTCACAATGAATATTTTAGAACACCATTTTTATATAAATTATTTTTTTATTAGAAAAAAGACATAAGAAGTAATAAATAATCTGCTTGAGAGTCAAACCACTCTTTGTCTGCAAGAGGCTTAATCATGAATCCTGTAAAAAAGGAACAAATAACTTCAGATACTTGAAGCTGCATTACACAGAATCTAATACCTGATTATCTTCCCCTCTAGCAATGCTCTCATCACAGCCCACCAGTCTCATCCCTCAAGCAGCACAGTTGTCAGCAGTCAAGACAAAATTTCCATCATAGCTCTTAAAAATTTTCTTATGAGCAGATCTGGTGTTCATGGTGACTTTACAAACTCTTTTAACCACTTTTGTGAGCATTATGGTCTGATTTTAGAGGGAAGGTCTGAAAAATGCACCTTTTTTTAAAAAAAAGAAATAGCGATACCTTGTAAACTATACAAATGGGGTGGTGCAGGATCTAAAATCTCAGTGGAAAGGTGACTCTTATTTAATTCTCCAAAAGCACGTACCACACAGTCAAATGACTGCCCAGTCAGTACAGTGGGGACAATGTCTGGGCTTTCCTATTTGTGCCTGTTGGAGCCCATGAGCCCTTGGGACTTACCTGAGTATGGCACTTAGGCAGAGCTGGGTAACCTTGGATAATGCGCTTGTTCTACCTGTTCCTTTCTCACTTCACAGGAGAATGAGCGCAAATAAATTGTGGAATTGTGGTGAGGGGAACAATGAAACATGAGAGAAGCAACTCAAGCCATTAGCCACTTCTTATATTCCTAAGTTACTTCTGTTTTAGATCACTGAGAAGTCTATGACTGCTACCATATTAAGCATGAGATTTGTCCCTTTTTTTTTTCAAATCTATTGCCTAGTCACATTCAAAGTTACTTTGTGGCCATGTTAATTGTAACAAGTTTTACAAAGTAATTGTGACTATTAGTACCACCTTTAGGAGATGTCAGTCTCTCAGGAGCTAACCTGAAAATCTCTCAAACGCACCGAGTTCCTCTCAACTATACCTGCAAATGTACAAAGGCTGGCAGGCTAGTCTTGGACCCAAAGTTGGTTCTCACTTTTCATTACATAGAAAAGGACAGGGACAAAATTGCTTAATCTGCACTGCAGACACCAATTTGTACAGCCTTTGCTGCAAGCAGCATAGCTAAAGGAGAGGGAAAAGGAGATGGTGAAAAACAGATGCAGTGGGATTTAAGTTTCAAGGGTTGTGAAGAGACTTCCCAGTGTAGGGAGTGCAATGCAGGGGTTATCTACTTCAGAGGAAGGTGCAGTGATATATTAGTCATCAGCTGGAGACAGTGATGGCCAGAGAAGGAAGCTGTCTGCATCCCTCCTGGACGGCAGTGGTGCACAAACCAGGACTACCATTCAGTACATCTGGCAGGCCTTGCATTGCTAACTATTTCATAAAGGGGGCAGATTTGGCACAAGGAGAGATACAAAGCGAGAAGACCAGCAAGAACAGTGAACAATTATTTTTTAAAACATAGCCTATGATTTTAAGAGGAATGATTCATGGTTCTGGATCTTAGCCTCACCACCCCCATATTTGATGTCCCCACAGCCCTAGTATCCCCTGATTACTGGATTACTCATGACACTCTGGCAACCCTGTAGTTCATGTAGATTTTTTTTTTTTACTTTTTAGTTTTGCTGAGGCAGAGGAAGCTGGAAATTACTTCCATCAAAGTTGAGGCTATGCAGAAGGATGCAGACTCTCTCTTTTTCCTGAATCAGAACCATCTCCAGCTACATGCTTCTTTCTGCTTTCTTTGACAGATCATGCAGAGATAGAGGGGAATAAGATTTGCTTCATAACTCACTTCTACACAGTAGAGCTCTCCAGAGCTCTAAGTATATCTGAAGCTGTAAGTATATCTAAAAATACTTTAGTTTTCTGAAACCACCAGCCAGCCTAGGAAAACTCTGAAGAAATTATACTGACAGAGTTTGATAGGTGTCTTTGCTGTCAGCACTCTAGTGTTAACACCCCCCTCCAGTTTCTTGCTGTTAGATGTGAGTGGCTTTCTGTTCTTATTTCCTCTTTCACACAGGATCACGTATTCTTCCCACAGTGGTGACAGAAAACTGATGGCTAATTCATTCATCACAAGTGCTAGTCAGTAACAAAAGTGTATCTATTGAAGCAGAAAAATCTCTGTAACTATTCACAAGGGACTTTGAGTTTTGACATTTGCCAATAGGAAACTGTAAGTAGCACATTGCCTTGAATCACTGGCTGCTGTAATGCAGGTGTGGCTCTGAACAAAAAAAACCTGCAGAGGACATGTGCATGCATGTGTGCACATATTAACAACAGTTTTAGGAAACAGCAACATACAAGAATGATATAAATTATGGATTATCAACAGTAACAAAATGAAAATAATGGGTTGATATCTGTCGGAAAATAGAAAAAAATGCATTCTTGATATTGTAATGTAGTAAAAATTGATGTTGGCTCTGGACATTGTCCTAGTCAGCCCACAAGAATTGCAAGACACCTGTAAACTTTATGATGAAAATTATAATATGACTGTCTCTTTGTGGCCTGGCAGAGAGATTTCCTGTACTGTCTTCCCTAGAAGTGCACTGGCCAGAACAAGGCTCTAAACTGAGATGGACTCCTTCCTGGCTTTTGCCCAGAGAAGGACCTCCAGTGGAGCTTCTTTCCTTTGGATGCTAACTTGGGGTATTATTTTCCTGGGAGAAAAATGGGTGCTTGCTGTTGGGAGCAAGAGTGTAGGCAGTGTGGAAAGGCTCAGGGGTCCTGGGGTGGATTTGAAGGGGTAGGGAGTGCCATAATTTGTCTTCAGATTTATTATTATATGCCTGCGATATGACTATTGTTATATTTCATTGCTAATTACCTTAATAAACTGTAGTGAGTTAACACATTAATCTATTTGTTCATTCTTCTCAATAACATCTGTTTAAAAAACAAACCCATCTCAAAGTTGTTCTATCAAATCGTAACATAGGCCACACACTATTAGACAACAATAAATACAAAACCGCTTAGCTCTGCTTTGTGACATTAATATAAATCTGTATCATAGGACTTTTAAAGAATAGAAGTAATTAGCAAACACTAATGTGTGCTCCAGATGGAATGGAAGTAAGTGGAAAAAGGAAGAGAAACAAGAAATCTTGCAAGGTCAATCTTGTGTCTTTCCTACAAATCTGTCAGCAGTGAGAAAATAAGAGAGACTTTTCCCATTCTTATGGAAATCCTCATACACATTCTTAGGATAGGTATCCACAAACCTGACATCATACTTTCTTCATGAAAGTATAAAAGATCCGACAGTTGATTAGTGTATGTCAGCAGTGGAGACCACGTCACCAGTTGCTCCTCGAAGCAGGTGTTTCCTCCACTTAAAAATGATGATTCTACTTGTAATCAGTCATAATTTTTCACACAATTCTGAATGTGAGTCTTAAAAGGTAAACTGTGATTAGTGGTTTCCTGTTCAGAGAAATTCCCAAAGCAGGACAGCTCTGAACATAATAAAAGGTGTTGAGCAATGAAATTTTGAGCATTTGCTCTTCTACAGCAGTTGCTCACAACTAGAAGGTGATTCCATTTCTTCATTCAGTGTTAATAAGTCAGAAGTTTTTAGCTCTATGGTCTTGGTTTTCTTGACTTGTCTGTCGTAGAGCTAGAAAACCAAAAGGAGACAGGAAAAGAAAAAGAGACTAATGCTCTGTGATTGTGTTGTAGGCCTGATATGATTTCTCCCTGTCACAGCATTTCTTACCTCCCTTCCTTCCAGAATTATAAATTAGGTTACGGTTTATTAAAAACTAAAAAGTTATTAAATTATATAACTTACATGAATCAGTGTAAACCAAATAAAATCAAAACAGGCAGATAATTTATCTGATAGAAGTGTCTGAAATTTCAGGAGGTTCCTCTTGATATCAGGTACCAGGCATCAAATGTACACAGGTGGGCAGTTACGGTGCTGCTTCTAGTAAGAACTATTTTAAAGGAAAAAGCTCCAGTGATCATAAATCTCAGCCAGTATACTGAGAATAAAATTCCAAATGAATTAGCAGAGCAAAAATGAGTGATGCATCACAGGATCAGGTCGGTGAAAAGGAACTGGCTCAGCACCATTTCAGCACTACTCATGTACACCTTACCTGTGCTCACCACAACTAGAACACTTCATAGAATCATAGAATCAACTGGGTTGGAAAAGACCTCCAAGGTCATCAAGTCCAACCCTCGATCCACTACCGCCATGGTTACTAGACCATGGCACTAAGTGCCACATCCAGTCTCATCTTAAAAACCTCCAGGGACAGTGAATCCACCACCTCCCTGGGCAGCCCATTCCAATATCTGATTACTCTCCCTGTAAAAAATTTCTTTTTAATATCCAACCTAAACCTCCCCTGGAAGAGCCTAAGACCATACCCTCTTGCCCTTCCTTTATATTTCCAGGATCCTTTTTATGGCTTCCTCTGGAGGTGTATCAAAGCTTAGCAAGATGAAAAGGTATTCTCAAAACGTTCCATCATCCCACACTGTAGAGACATTTTTACCAAGATTATACAGCATTCCTGTTGTCCCACCAAAGGAACAACAGTCTGGCCATAAGTGGAGCACAAAACAGGACTTAGCATAGGTACCCAAAGACAGGTAGACATACTCTGGTTTATATTTTTATGATTTAGCAGAACTATGGGAAAAGCTTTTTACCTACAAATCTATGACCAGTATCCTGATTCTCACCTCACTTGATTGCATTGTCCTCCATTTTTTCCCAGATCCCTTCTTCATTATTCACCTGAACTGCATGTATGGACTGCTGCTGAGTTCCCACAGTTAGGGGTCTCCAAGGTGCTGCAGATGCTGACTAATTCAGGCATAGGTTGTTGCCAGGTGTAAGTTTCTGAATCTATTGTAACTATTGTAAGAAGGCTTTTTGTGTGAGAAAGTTCTTATAGCACCTGCTCCACGAGTGAGATATTCCTACAAGCTGAGAGATAGTGAAGGATGTTTTGAAGGCATTTCCTGTGGTAAAAATAAACTCATCTTCCATTTGGATAGATTTAGTGGGTAAGGGAGAAAGCTAATCTTGGGATCATTGACATCAAGTCTCAGAGGCTCCTGTTAATTATATACCAAAAGAGACAGGAAACTCTCCCTCATGAGGGGACATCATTCTCTGCAGGGTTAAGTTTTGTTTACCCTCAGAGATTTGTTAAGATTAGTCCTCAGGGATGCCTACATGGTAAAAGAGCCCACAATGATGCCTCTATTTATAGCAATATTCGTTGCTGCTGTGCAAACCCAGATGCCCACTTAGCTGTATACCATATCAACATTGGGATTTGTGTCCTCAGATCTTGTTGCTGTGCTTTACATGCCACAGGACACTCAGGAGTATCCCATCTCACTGCTGGCAGCTGACCATGTGCTACATGTCAGCATTTTTTACAGCCTCTGCCAAGGCTTTTCATTCTACTCCAGTTTTGTGACTCTGTATCTGAAACGAGTTCAGAAAAATTGCAATTTTGGGAGTTGATGAGAATATTTATTTCTCTCTAAAACAGTGATAATATACATAAAAATAGGTCCGAAATAATTGATTCAACCACTTATTTAATTTGTATACTGTTCTACAAATTCCTTATATGAATTTAGGTCTTGCAGCCTTAGTCAAGACAGAGTATTGCAATTCCTGTTTGCTTTGTTTTGGTTTTGTCCTTGTCTATATTCTAACAAACTTTGGATTTTTTGAGTTTAGAGTGCCATGTAGATTGAAAGAATGAACTCAGGTATGTCACATATTAAGTTTCCATTCCCGTTGTCAACCCTTGTTAATTCAATGTCAACCCTTGTATGAATGCATCACCTACTGAGATTTAAAAACTGAACCATGACACTCCATGCTAACATTCCAGGACGAGATGTGGATTCTAATCCAAGATCTTGAACCTGGACCTGTTCAAACTCTCCAGCCTCATGAGGCCAGACTTTTGGACGTTTCTTTTTTGCTTTGTTTTATTTGGTTTCCGTTTTGGCAGCCAGCACCGTTGGAAATAAGACATTGAAACGCCCCGAGTCTTTTGAGGAAATAACCAATTATCAGCCGCGTTCCTATGGGGCCATCTGGTGGCGAAGGGACTCGGTAAGGGAGGATCGCCCGAAGAGAGGTACCCGATGGCTGCTGTGTTTAAATACATTGTTTTACCTGAAGTCTTGTATCTCAAGGCTCTTATGCCTATTCTTTTTCTCCCTCTGCTTCTCTCTCCCTCTCCCTCCGATTATATCCCTCTTTCCCTGGAACAAGAATTCAGTTTCAACTTGGCCACTATTGGCTTTCTTGTCCCAGTAGTTTTTTTTTCACCTAATTGCCACAAGCCTTCCTCCCTAACTTGCTAGGTTGTGAGGACTGACCAGCTGCTGACATTGGAAGTTACATTATGCTGCTCTAGCAAGAACTTCTTGTTTCTGTGTTGCACAGCTTCTTCCATGGTGAAAGTCTACTTTGTTACTTCTCCCCCACCCCCCCGCCCCAACTGAGCAAGAAAATATAGTATTATGGATTTGATTATAATTAAGTTGTAACTGAACTTCACAGTTCAATGTCATATAAAAATGACATATGAAGACAGTATTCAGTTGACTATATTTGGAAAGGCATTTTCTTTTGTGATTCATCTCTGTCACTGCTTCAGGGAGACATTTATCCATTTACCCTCTCTGAATACCTCTTTATGAGTTTTATCTTAACATGACAATCTGAAAAACAGGTATGGTATACAGTTATGTATGAACATCTAACCTGTCATTAGGTATTTTCTGTGTAAAATGCAGCTCAATACCTCCATTATTAATCTCAGCCAAAATTCTGCTGATGCTTACATGATGAAAGCTGCAAATAATATTGTTTTCCAGAAATCTATATACATGTGTATCAAATGGAAAATGTTTTCATGAAAATTACAAAAAACTGCCTGTGAGGGAAATGTAGTTCCTAGACTGACATTAAATCCCCTGTATCATCTCAGCCCAGTTTTTTCCATTTCTGAAGGTCCTTATACCCTCATGAGGCACTTTCTCAAACTCTTTGACAAGAACTTTGATAACATTATAAAAGAAATATTATTCATTATTCCTCCAACTGATATAAAAAAAAAAAAACAAACAAAAAACCCCACCAACTACAAAAATATTAGGTGCCAGTTAGTAAATATCATAACTAATTTATAGTCAACCTTATCAGCTTTGTAAAGCAAAAAAACCCAACACAAACAACAAACCAACAATAAAAAATTCCCGAGCTAAACCCAAAAAGTGTTTCTTCAGGTTGATAACAACTCCACTAGGGAAGCAGAGGTCTTCTTGCATTTTCAAAGAGGACGTGTTTTAATTTGCTTCCTGTCTAGTCATCAGGCAGCCTTGCAGAATTGTACTTACCTGAGGCAATAATGTATCAGATTCATGAGTAAAATACCTCTGACAATTCTTAATTTTCCTGGTTTTTTTTCCATTATGTTAAATACCATGTTAATAGGGTGGTTTTGTGATAGAAAAAGCATGGAGTATTTTTCCCCTAGTACTTTCACAGGGCTACTTTATTTATCACTATTGACAAATTGTGCAACTTTTCACATGAAGGATTTGTCACAGGATGAAATGGTGGAAAGCACCTAGCATTCAGGAGGTTGGAAGAATGTTTAGTTGCTGAGACACTTATTCTGCCAGAGGAATCAGAAGCATTTGCTGAAAGATTGACTACCCTAGCTTTCTTCCTTAGAAGAAAGAATTATTGGTTTAATCCTGTCTTGTTTTCGGTGTCTTTTTCTAGCAATCTGCTGTCTTGGAGAGAAAACAGAGGCAGAAACCCAACATAATTATCTGCAATCCCAGTTTAGTTACT